AAAGTTTATATAAACATAGGTCGACAAACGTCCCCTAAGGGCGCTACGGTCTTTTAAAAGGGCTCCCTTGAAACGTGTTGAGAAAAAGACATACAATTTGGTATTCTAGCCTAGTTTTTTATGCTGGATTTAAAAATATTAACAATTTTAGACAGTTTTGTTTGGAAGCGTATGTAACAGTGACGGACTCAGGTTATTTTAGCCCCAAAATTGTTTTATGATTCTATTTTTGAAATTCAATTTTAGAATTTGAAAATTTAGGATTTTCTACATAAAAAAGGTACTCTTATTAAATATCGATAAATTGTGTCATTTTTGAATAAAATCAAACTAAAAAATTTGACACATGATAGGAAATGTACTGCGAATTTAAATGAATTCTTGAATAATTATCCGTGGCAACGAAAAAACTAATTTAATAATTGGTAAATATTACATAAATACATATTTTTAATGCAACATAGCTAACATTTATGCAAAAACAAAAGAAATACATTTTTTCTACGAACGAAATTGAAATTTGTTTAAAAAGAAGACATACAGTTGGATATAATTAAAACTAGCTTTAGAATAAGTGTTCAAATAAATTCCCATTTTGTTGGATACAGAGTCTCGCTCGACGAACTAATGATTGCGTAGCCCGGAAAGTGGAAAACCTTTTTCTTCTTATTTCATTTGCAGCCTGATGGATTCTTTGAAGTAAATCTTCTTGAGTATTTACTTCAGTCAAGTAAACTAGGTCTTTTAATGACCCCCAAAAATAGAAATCCAATGAATTTAGGTCAGGGCAACGTGGCGGCCACGCTATAGGACCTCCTCGGCCTAACCACCTGTCTGGTAAATTGACTTTCAACCAATTTCGAACATTGCGTCCAAAATGTGCAGGGGCGCCATCATGTTGAAAAAACATATTTTCTTGAAACTGCAGATACACCTCTGAATTAACACGATTGGGAAGTACAATAGGCCCAATTACTTGATCCCCAATTACTCCTGCCCATAAGTTCAATGAAAAACTATGGTGGAAATTTGTACCGCGAACAACTTTTGGATTTTCATCTGACCAGTGATGCATGTTATGGAAATTAAAAGCACCATTCCTAGTAAATATTGACTCATCCGACCATAATATTTTAGAAATAGTGTTTTCATTTGCTAATATCCACTGGCAAAATTCGATTCATGGTAAAAAAATCTGCCTCCATTACATGCTGCACCCATTTAAAATGATAAGGATGTAATCCTTGCATTCTTGTCATTCTTCCTATCTAAAATTATTATTTTTAGAATAACTATCAAATAGGTATTCATAAATTTTTCTTACTATTGATCGAGGTATATCCATAATTTCTGAAACATTTCGTATGCTTATTTGCGGATTATTTTCAAACATATTTAAAGCAATATCCATACGATGATTTCCCAGTGGCCTTCCTGAGCCCTGCATGCGCTGAAAACTTCTATGGTTTGACAAATTCCGGTGAATATCAGTAAACATTCGACGTCCAGGTATTATGCGATTAGGAAATCTTCTTTGGTATTCTCTTACGGCTGCCAATGAACTGCCATTGCAAAACCCGTACACAAAATGCATGTCAGTCAGTTCTCTTTTAAATTGATTTAATAAAATTTTTGATTTTAATCTAATAATTTTACACTGCTAACAGTGTCAGCTTAACTGCAAAATAAGTCATAACAAATCAAAACAACTTTTGTTTGAAGTCATGGCTAACTATGTATAATCAACAATTCATTTAAATTCGCTGTACATTTCCTATCATGTGACAATTTTTTTAGTTTGATTTTATTCAAAAATGGCACAATTTACCGATATTCAATAAGAATACCTTTTTATGTAGAAAACCCTAAATTTTCAAATTCTAAAATTGAATTTCAAAAATAGAATCACACAAAAATTTTGGGGCTGAAATAACCTGAGTCCGTCCCTATTACATACGCTTCCAAACAAACCTGTCTAAAATTGTTAATATTTTTAAATCCAGCATAAAAAACTAGGCTAGGATACCAAATTTTATGTCTTTATCTCAACACGTTTCGGAAATATTAAGGAAAAACCATCTTCAGGGGAGCCCCTTTAAAAGACCGTAGCGCCCTTAGGGGACGTTTGTCGACCTATGTATATACAAACTTTTCTTCCTATTTTAAGCTCTAGAAACCGCTGGTAGAATATTGCACACTTTTTTCGGGACACCCTGTATATTGTCAATGTACTGTGAGGATAAATTATTACTTATTATTATTCATATATTTAACTATTTAATGATTATTTTATTAATTACGCATTTATTTTTTATTATCCCAAAATTGGTTACCAGCAAAACTGCTCAATCAGGTGTTCCTTTATTGAGGATATTTTATGCCACTATGCTCATAAAATATTTCTTCAATATGGGAAATATCACTTTCAGCAGATTTTAAATTGTAAACAAACTAAATCCTCGGCACATTCCTAGCATTCCTAATCTCCCGGCGCATTCTTTGAATTCCTTCGATAGTTCCTCCAGATCTCCAGGCAAGTAGGCGGCGCAACCAACGGTGTTGCCGTTGTTTAACGTGCAGCTCCCACTTCTTCAGTCTTATGTGTTTTGTGCCGCCGACTGTACACTGGACAGTGAATTATCCCTTCTAAGGCTGCCCCATGTGCTGAGTGGAGGACGAGACTACGATTTACTATCTAGGCTTTTGCCCGGATATTACAGCCTAAGAGCGGAGATATTCAGAGTCATAGAGTTTGATACCGAAGTTGCATACTCGGCGGAGTGGTCGAACAGCCTGACTTTGTTAGGAGATAGCATTAGGTCCGACAGATTCGTGGATAAACATGTGGAGTAGAGTGCTTGTACACTCGGGATCCGCAAAAACGGCCATAGGTGGCCTACTTGCCTGGCTTCGCCTCCTCAGGACTACTAACGTATGTTCGAAAAGTTTTGGTACAAAATATTTATCGGATTTTTTCAATCAAGAAATTTATTCAAACTAGTTATCATAAATAACAACTCAATACTTAACTTCGTAAATTCGCCGTCTTAATTGTTCTTCTTCTTGGGCAGTAAAGCCCAAAAATCCTCTATTGGGCGAGCCTGTGGCAAGTTTGGAGGACTATCGTTTTTGGGAACAAAATTTTGCTGTTGAAGCCAGTTTTGGGTATGTCTTGAGTAATGATATGATACTAGATCTGGCCAAAATATGATATGGTCATTAGCATGATGTTCGTGACAAACTGAAACAATTTGGCAAGGCAGGTATCAATATCTATAGCTCTGGCTATTCAAAGCTTCACCCCTCTCTCTTCCCACAAAAGGCTGGAATACACCTGTTAGAAATTGCACACCAGACAAGGATTTTATCTGCAAATGTTGCTTTATGTTTGTATCTAACATCGTCGGGGCATTTCTCTACGTTGTCTGTATAAAATCCGTCGTTTTCCTCTATTTCAGAATCACTCAAAGCGAAATACTTTTCGTCATCTAAAATAATGATTTTGCCATTGACAAAGTGCACCCGCTTCAGTTGACGACAGCATCTTGGAGTTGCGCTTGAGAGTATCTGGGGCACTGAAGTTTCTTTCTATATTTAAGACCATTTCCGCTCAATCAGTGATTGGCGCATTGTATGCAACATGTACAATAAATACACCGTTGTAAACGCGTATAAAATGGTGAATATAATTATACTCGTATGTACATACGTCTCTATATTCACGTATACAATATATGTTATACAATAGCAAATAACCATCACGTTGCCTGGCACAACATTGATGAAGGCCACAGAACACGACTGTAACTTGCTACAATGCCTTGTTTTCTACGCCCAAATACACATGTCCGTCGAATCTGTTCAGGATCAATTCCGTATCGATCCTAATGGTTCTCCGATTTTAGGTGGAACTGAAAGTTCAGGATCGCTGCAAATTCTACAACATTGCATTATTGGTTTGACTGAGAAAGCTGTTTATAAATAATGAGAAATGGTATAAATATATAATATTTATTTATATACGTAAAACAAAATACTTATGAGATTTCAATCGAGATATAGCGGAATTGGACAACTTTTTTTGCAGACACTACACTCTACGGAATATGTCTTTCCATTATTAAACAAAATGAACCCTAGTTCATCGATTTCTTTGTTTTTGGGGTGTCCAACCATATTTTATTAAAGCTGCCGGTTCATTGTTCACCAACTTTCTGGCGCTATTCTATACATTGTCTTCATCATTGTATACATTCTATTCATTGTATACGCAATGCAGACATTATATACGCATTGCATACATCGAGACGTAGACAATTAATGTATTCGCGTAAACGCCCATCACTGCCCTCAATTCCAACGATATCGTACTCTTAGAAGATCTGTATTGACTAGCCAGTCTCCTTGTGAACATTCCAACCTGATTTTTTGCTATTCTCACCACTCTCCCTGACCTCTGTGCGGTAAATGTACGTGGTCTTCCACATTTTGGGATATTCAGACATGGTATCCCTGCTCGCCCGCCCAACTAACTTGTAGATACTTTTTCTTATTTCTTATTTATACATCTTAAAGTTAAAACTTCAAAATAAATAATTGTTTTGTGTTTGTTAAAATTTAAAACAACGAATTTTGTGCTAAAACTTTTAGGACATTCGTTACTAGTACTACTGATGTCGATGACAACAAAAATTTTGTTTTTTTAAGCAGTGACAGCTCCATTGTTAATTTTTTTCAATTTCACTTAATCCCAAACAAAAAAAATTACCACTTCTTGTTTGAGTAGGGCGTTATAATCACATGCCAATTTTGACATTTTGCCTTGAATATACAACGCATATATCAGCAGCTCCATATTCGGGCATGTGCTGTTCTGATGTTGAGAATAACAAAAACACCATTTAATGAGATAGCTTCTGGTTGGTAATGGAGTCACATGTACACTCGTATTGATGAATGCTTATACAAATGCTAATGAGTTGTTCGCTGATTGGTAGTGAAATTTAATACATTCTTTTGATTTTATAATAATTTATTTTTACTTTTTAATATGGCTACAATTTATCTAGTTTATACGTATATCTATTCCACAATTATTGATTTAAAATAAATTTTATTTAATTAAGGATACAACTGCATAAATTACTTAAGTACTATTGAGCAAACTATGTTACAATAGAAGCATTTATTAAATGCAACCATAAGCGATTAAGAATTTAATTTTGTTGGAGGTACTTCTACAAACTTTAGTACTAACAGTTCAAGAGACAAGTCAGTTTGACGATGATGATTTTGGGGCAAACACCCTCATAAAAATAAACTTATTAATATATTTAAAGAATTATCGGCGCGTATTATACAAAATTAAAATACATTAGCTTCCTTGTCTAACGCTTCTAAGCAACCAAGTTAGGTTGCTTTAATACATGCCACAATCAGAAATATGTTACTTCTCAGAGCAAGCTGATAAATGTTCAAGTATTAACCACTTATTTTGCTTAAGGCACTGAAACTGAGTAAAACCTCTTCGGATCGCCAATAGTAGGCTGGAATCTCAAGTTCACTCTCTTGCCTTTCTGATCGTCAACTTCCAAAAAGGTGTTCCAATCTACGAGATAGTAGAACCCTGTCCTTTTTGTAGCAGCCTCGGTTGCTGGTGGTTCTGTTGGAGGATCAGTTTTTCCTCCGAAAGAATCTTCCAAATCTTTTATGTTGGGAGTTGCAGTTTCTTCTTTTGCTGGAGTTGATGCCGAAACTGCAAGCAGTAAGTTATTTCATGCGCATACTTTCAGAAGTCAGGTTTGTAAATCATAGAATATCTCAAGAACCATGAACATATCGAAAACTCAATACACTACAAAAGCGATACTTGCAGTTTTAGATACCCTATTTTTATGGTCTTTAATTTCTGGAGATAATTATGGAATATCAGCTCCACTTTACACACGACACTCTATCTCAGATTCATAAAAACAGGTAACATTAATAGTTTGCATTTCCAATGTTTTCTTGGATACTCGCTTTTCTAAGATCAAGACAATTTTGAACAATGAATTTATGTTTTTCACAGAAGCACAGAATGGAAGTGAACATATACAGAGCCTTTCAAAAAGGACCCGCTCTCTACTTCTAGGAAATATTTTAAATATGTAGATTTATTTTGTTTTTTCTTAATCCAGGTCCGATAGATAAATTAATGTGCTTTGTGTAATGTGCTTGCAGTATATTTATTTCAAAACAAGAATTGCAATAAATTGATAATGCTTTGTATTAATCAATAGATTAGTATTGTGTCGTTACAGACAGTGCATTTGTTTTTGAACGGGTTAAGTTAGCACGCTGATATTCTAGATGATTAAACTGATGCATGGATACTATATTTTGGCGTAAAAATAGCAATCGGAAGTTTAAAGATGGAGGTTGGGCGGCATACTGGACTATTTTTAAATGGAATGGGGCTCACGTCATAGCATACTCTGAATCTGCTTATGAGTGCTTTATGGCAACTTGAATACAAATTCACTATTTTTTAAAATGGCGAATTGACAGACTGCCAATTTTGAGCGTGTTTATACATTGAATCACTTATACTTCGACAAAACACTATAGTATGTTTATCCATCTTCTCGTGGAAAAATCTATCCGATTTTGCGATATAATATGGAGTAAAGGTTTGTAAAAACCCCACATTTTTTTCAACGGAATGTCCCACATTTTAGTACACATTCAGATTGAACCTCAAAAAAGAAGGAGGTTGGTATAGCTAGTGTTTTGCAGATTTGTTATTCAGCTATCAGCGATTCAATATACAAACTCAACTTTGACAGACTGCCATTTCGCCATTTTGATATATAGTGATTTTATAGTCTAAGTTTGTAAAGTACCTACTGATATAGTTGTATTCACCGTTCTTGGCAGGTGTAAGTAAGACTACCAGTATCCCTTCATATATCTCCATCTCCCTCATACATACACATGCAACCTACCCCTGTGTGTGAACGTTTGTTCGGTAAGCTCAAAGACATACGTTTTTTAGTTGTGTGTCTCCGTCTCGAAAAGTTTGTCGTTAAGTATGAGTGCCCTACAATCATATTTGTCAGAGTAACAACTTACTTGACATCGCCGTGCAATTTGAGCTGTCCTGGTATCAATTTTCAATATAAAATTATACAATGCCCGGAAATACGATCAATGGAGAAGGCCGACAACTCGTGCTAAATTTATTAGAGTATTCCCAGGAAGAGAATGAAAACAACGGTCCCCTGTTACCCACTTCATGCGTACTGGAGAGCGAATAAAATCAAAAAATAAGAAAGCTTTGCCCATAGAAACACCTGGAGAAACTCACAAAATCAAAAATGCAAGACCGATGATGTAAGTGATGCCATCTAAACAGAAATTAAGAATACTTTCCTCGATATGAAAAGTAAAGGACAACATATCATGATCTCTGCGCTCAATCAGGATTTTAAAAAAAGGTGCATATACAACGTCTCGGATTCCAGTTTAAAGAGTCTATTGAAAGCTTGCGGTTTCTCCTACAAGACAGAAGATATATAACCGCCGACTCTTGTGTGAAAAATCAAACATTGTTTCCAAACTTATCTATTTTATGAGACATTATATGGATAACCTGAATAGTACACAAGCCCTTTCTAATGCGTTTAAGCGAGTTTGGCAAGAAAAAAAAAGAAAAGAGTTTGAAAAGATTCCATCAGGCTACCGGCAAGCGGTATGTTGTTCTCATGCTGGGACCAAAAACGGTTTTTTGAGAGATACTGCATTGTTATTTGGTACAAAATCAAAAAGTGCAGGACAAAGATTGTATCACAAAATGAGTACGTGAGAAGCTGATAGCAGCGTTACAAAACCCATCTTTAGTAATCATGTAGGTATAATCCCTCTTATCAAAGCCTAGCTTTAACAGAAGAAATGCCCACATCCAGTTGGAGTAAAATGCAATTGAAGCAATGGCTGCAAGACAAAAGGATACATTTTGATGATGCTTTTAAGTCTATGTCGCCTTAATAAACCATCGGCTCCAAGATATATCTTAGACGGAATATAACATGAACATGGAAATCAAGTTTTGCAGCTCCCCTCTTAACCATTGTCAATACAACCCTATTGAGTTAGTCTAGGGAATATCCAAACAGTACTATGATCGTCATATTGGGGAAAATGGCTATGGTGACGAGGAATTTTTGAAAAATTGGGCCGATGCTCTAGCAAAGGTGACTCCTACAGTTTGGGCCAAGTATGTGAAACATACCGAGTACTTGATTAAAAACGACTGGGACAACCACCAAGTGTTTAATAGGGAGAAGACTAATATAATCATTTACTTGAGAGAAGGTTCAGATAACTCTGATGCCGAAATCTAATAATTCATAGTTATATTAATACAATTTTGAAAATTTATAATTCTTAATCTTCTATGTGTGCACCTTGATGTAGATTGTTAAATATTTTGATAGATATGGAAGATACAAGCTTGATGTTCACTAAGGCGACATAGATTTAAAAACTCGACTTTAAGAGCATCAAGATGTATTTTTTTTTGTCTCGCAATAATTTATTTAGTCGCATTTTACTCCAGGAAGTATTGAGCAATTCATTATTGAAGATGCTTCTTTTAAAGCTCTCATAAGATATGTATCCACATCCAATGTGAAATGTTCCATCAAGTTAGCAAATAGATGTGTTATTTTGTATTATATTGTAAATTCCGAATGTATTTTTAATTTCCACTTTAAAAAACATCAAATGGCGTGTCATACTCTATGCCTGTTTATGTACTAGATTAGAAGATTTTTGAGAATTACGATTCGTAACTAATTTTGAATCGGTTTCCCTCAGTTAGGAAAGTTAAGATCCTTCCATTGTACGGAGACTCTATCTGCTTGCTTATTTCATATGGCGTTGATGACTTAACCGCCAAGAACGGTGACTTCAACTACAAGAAGCTTCAAAATGGTATCATGCAACCTCCCATTCCATTAAAATAATGACCAACTGTCATTTTTAGCTTGAAATATAGTATTCATGCGTCAGTTTCATCGCCCTAAATTCCAGATTGCTAACTAGATCCGTACAAAAAATAGGTTGAGGGCGAGCTTTTCGAAAAGCACTGTATAATGTTTCGAATGTTATTTACGCTAAAACATTTTTCCAGTAAAACCTATTCATTGGCAACAAAGCTATCGCTTGGCTTATCGCCATGCGCGACTCATATTGATTCAAAGTAGCGACTGTAACATTATACTGACAAAATCAACAACACTGTTACCTGAAATAGTTTCTTCGACATTTAACTTCACAGTTGGCGTGACAACTTGCACCTGTTCCTGATCAGCTTTGGCTTCAGCGGCATCTTTAGTGTTTTGTTGACGTTTGATTTCGTTCTTGCTCAACCCATCGTCATAGTTCAATGGATTTGGCGCATTCTGATGGTTCAGAGGTGTCACCTTGGTGTCCACATTGAGGCTTTCCACCACTTCTCTCAGTTGTTCGTTATCAGTGTCGTCGTTTGATAGGGTCTTGTTCAGTTTTTCGATTTTCTGGATTATATTTAGTAGCTTGTTCAGTTTTTCGATTTCTTGCGCATTGCTGTTTGCTTTTGGTGGGGTATACTCGTTAGTCTTCTCCAATGTTTTGGTCAATGGTTCCGTTCTGATCTTTTTGCCTGAAACAAATACAGTTATACGTTACATTAATTATTTCCAGTGGAATATTGCTATATAAATAATTGAATTGATATAATGACTTCGACAAGTATTACTACGCAATGATAATTTTTTTTATATCGAAGCAGCTGCCCAGGCAGAAGCCTAAATGCCAGTACACCGCGGCTGCTATGAGGATCCCAAAGAAATTTTGTTAATCCAGTTTTTGAACTGCCTAAGATTAGTGAAGCTTCCTCTTGTAGATTTTTCCACAATCTCGACACCCTCGGGACAAAGGAGCGGTCGTTTCGGCCAGGCACATCGTGGGACGGCATCATGGAGGAGACGTCTGAGGAGCAACGCCCGTTGGTGTAGCGGTAGAAGAGAGCTAGATCGCCGACGGCTCGCCGGTGCGAAAGGGTCTCGAGACTGTTAGAGACCAGTCATCGATCAGACGGACAGCCCTCATCATTAATTTATTTTTTGGGAAAGATAACCGACTGCGTCGTTCAGTAGGGTCTGTTACAATATACCGGCCCATACAACATCTATATTTAAAAAATGTTTTCTTTACACGGCACCATCTACACTTAATGATTATTCCAAATTTTTCGAAGCATTTGCTATCTATAATTTTAAAAGTGAATTTAAAAAAACGCTATTACAATTGCAGTTCATTGAAGCTACAACAATTTAAATGTAGGCTCTTTAAAATAACTGTTCCTATCATGGTTTTTATATAGTATAACGTTATGTATACTCAACAACATAATATGTTAATAAGTTTCACATCTGTAGTTTAGTAGGCTGAGGTGAAAAATAGCATTGCCAACCCCCAGCCTTTTGGGGTATTATATGTTTTGTATTTGGGTGGTTTTTTACTGCGTATTTGGTGGATAACCTCTATTATGATGGAAGATATCAAAAAAAATTAGCCAACTGTAAGGTCCTGTAAGGTTGGTAAATATATCTATATGATAACAAAGCATGTTGTTTTAAGGAACATATATCGTATCACATACTATGGGTTGTTGTTGCCCTGGGCAAGTGATTATTTGTTTGTAGGAATGCCACCTTTATCAAGATAATGGACCCATTTTCTAAAATTATTCGTTTTTCGCTCATAACTTCGCTGCGACTAACGCGATTTCCAAAAGGTGCGAAAAGTGCGAAGTTACCGGATACGTGTATTCCTCGTGACTACAATACTTCTTTGGCTGATTGATGTCAGTCATGTTTTGCGGAAAGCTTAGTGAAGGATTCACCATAAAAGCTTGGGTTATCGTTATTCAATTCAAATGCTTATTTTTTGTATCAATTATTAAGAAAGAACAGACAAGAGCTTCACAACTACTTACCTTGCCTCGTTGGCAGTCCAATGTCTTCTAAAACCCCCTGGTACTGTTCTGGCACTACATCTAATATCACAGTGCCGTCAGTATCTTCATCGGATCTTTTCTCTGCTGACTGTGGTAATTGATTTTTAGAATTCCTTCCTAATCCGAATCTAGCTAAAAGTAGATCCATATCACTTCTACTTTCATCGTTATTTACAGGTAATGGTTTAAAACCAACGTACGATCCTGGGTCTACTTCTGCCTGCAATACGAATTTTGAATTAAGAAACTATTCACTTACAAATCCTATTTACACCACCAATGTATTGACTTTCTAGTTTAAGTGCTTAGAAAATACTTAAGCTTATCAACACGGTCATAATTGAAGAAAAAAGGTAAAGGTAATAGACTGGCATAAATGGAGTAGCTGGTTGCAATATCGCAGTCTGTTCTGGTACCTTGGTGGAGAAATGTGTATTTGTTATTAAATCCTGAGGAGCATAGAGCCGAGGAATATAATGTACGAGGACAATAATGACATTCTCCACCGAGGTATGTATACATTTTATTTTCACTTCTAACGATATTACCACATGTACTTGAAATATAACATATCTGGGGATTTTCTGAACTTCCGACAATAAGATCCCGAATAAAGCACACGAAATGTCTGAACCACATAACTGTGCATAGGAGAGTCATGAGAGTCTGACATATAAGATGCTACGTACGTCGACACATCATTTGTTTCCTGCAGTATAGAACTTTCAAGTCGTCAAAATAGTGAGATAAATAAATACACTCGAAAACAATAATTTTAGTGATAAAATAGACTCTGACTATCAAGTCTTGTAGACATTTTCAAAAATGGATAAAAAATGACAATTCTTTGGTCAACATGCAAAAGAAGATCCACAGGAATTCAGGCATTATTTATTTAAGTAGGGATTTTTTTCATTATCATTCTTGCCTAGGGGGAGAAATGTCACTTATCCTCAGAGAAATGCAGTAAATAATGGCGATTTTTTGGGTTAGTAGTAAAATAAATAATAAATACATAAAAATACAGACTTCCAACCTTCTCTGTCTGTACATACCAGGGTGTCCAGTGGGAAAGTCCACATTTCAAATTTGAATTACGCGGCAACCGAATACGCCAGGAAGTGGGGAGAGGTCTTGATCGACGCGTTCGGCGTGCGGGTTAAATAGTCATAATGGAACGTTGGACCGGAGCGTACCGTGCTTTTGCTATCGAGGCTTACTTTAAAAGTGGTGATTCTTACGCAGTCTTCGGAAATTTTGTAAATGATACAACATTCGCCGACCAAGAGATGTCCCTAGTAAGAACCCATTGAAAAAGTGGATCAAGAGGTTCCGTGAAACAGGCTCTACCCTTAGTCAACCAATTCCTGGCCTCACACCTACTGTATCAACTGAAGAAAATGTGCATCGAGTAAGTGATTCGGTCATTGCAAATCCTCGGCGTTCTGTACGGAAGCATTCCGTTGCTTTGGGAATCCGTTGGTTAACACTGCATGGCATAATGAAGAAGAAAATAGGTTTTCATCCTTATGAAATCCAATCAGTCCATGCTTTAAAGGAAAGTGATTACGTATTACGGAAATCTTATGCTGAACGGATGTTGAATCTTTTTCCTACGCAGCGCAGACTCGAGAACGTTGTTCTCAGTGACGAGGTCCATTTTCACTTAGACGGTTATGTGAACAAGCAAAACTGCAGATATTGGGCACCAGCTGACTCAAAAGAGAAAGATCAACACCAGCTACATAGTCCAAAGGGGACCGTTTGGTGAGCCATATCCTCTAGCGGTATTATTGAGCCGTATTTCTTTGAAGATAAAAACCGTCATGTATTGACAGTCAATTCCGAGCGATACAACGACATGATTGACACTTTTTTACTCCTATTGTAAGAACAGAACGTCGATTCAACAGAAACGCATGGTTTCAACAGCATGCATCCAAGAAGTGATATCGAAGTTTGGAGACAGTTACTGGCCTCCTAGGTCACCCGACCTCGCGCCATGCGATTATTTTTTGTGGAGATATCTAAAGTCAAAAGTGTATTCCAGTAATCCATGAACACTCGAGGAGCTTAAAGACAACATTCGACGAGAAATAAGCAACATCACTATGAAACTCTGAGTGTTTCAGAAATTGCGCGCGCGTTTAGAAGAAATAAAACCCTTCGAATTTACGAATATGTTGAAAGTAATAAATATTTTCTTTTTATTAAGTTTGTATTTTTTTCAGAAATCAAAAAGTGAACTTTTTCACTGGACACCCTGAAAGTTAAGTTAATTAAGGTAAATTATCTGTAGAAGCCAATATTTGTCAAAAACTAGTGCCACTGTTTAACATAAATTTATAGTGTTATTTTAAATGTATCAGTAATGGTTACCTTTTCGGGATTATAAGTATCATCCTTTTTAACATCCTCAATAGGCTTAGGGCCCTGAATCAATCCAAAACTAACAAGAAGGTCCCTCATTTCTGAAGACAGATTATCAGCCACTGGGCTTATATCAGGAACAGTTGTTGAAGGAGCAGAAGTGGACGTGGCTCTGGAAACAGCAATATGTTCAGCTGGAGCTGTATCTAAGTCAGCGATGTAACTAGGCGCTGGTTGGTATGATAGTTTCGTGGAGAGGATATCACTATAACTGGACGCTTGATCAGCTATACCTTCTGCAACGTCAAATAATAACATTAAGTAGTCAACATCGACTGTATTCTTCAAAAGCATGTTTGAAACAGGATATAATATATTTAACATGCTAGATACACTTTTCATACGCCAAGCAGCTCGATTTGAACTATCTTACTCACGAATCCCATATTAACTAATTAACCCGTAATCGTTAAACAAAATTTCATTCAAGTTTAGATGTGGTTCTAGATTATACAATTATTATTCTATACTTCTCTGCAGTATGTAACAAAATAAACACACAATTCTCCTCTGTTCTTGTCAGCTACCTATTTCTAAAAGATCTAAAAAGTACGAACTATAGGCATTAATTATTTTAATAATGCAATCGAAATAGAACTTCTTTTTCGGCGGTATTTTCAGATATATCATAATTTTATTTTTAAAATTTTACCTACTGTTCAATCACACCGAACAGAAATGACTGCTATTGAAGGACTGGTTTTCGTTGAAAAATTTTCAAATAAAGAACAAAAGAAACACTCTGCTTAACTTAGTAGGCTCTGCCTAGTTTTAAGAATGCCTACCTTACAGGTCCTTATTTTGTATCCTAAATTAAGGAATACGGTTGAATCCAAGAAAAGTATTTATTGATATAAATAAAAGGTAAAATACTTTTACAGCAAAACGTTCAATTCTTTATGGGCAAGTTCTTTCAATCAATGGTAAATACATATGGGGGTATCCCATTCCAAAGGAGTCATACATATTCCTCCAAAGCGATGAATTTAAAATACTCAATCCGGTATTAAACCCACTACATTACCTTGTGGAACAAATGGTTCGATTTCGGGATTACTAGTACTAGATCGAGTATAGTACGATGGTGCCTTTGTGGTTCTAGTTAAAGCGAGCGGTATTTCTTTCCTAGAATTCTCCATCATTATCAAGTCATCATTTGAACTGTATGGGTCATCCTGGTGCTGGGATTGCGCTGTATCTTTTTCACCAAATGGAAGACTTGATGAAGGTATTCTGTTACCTTCTTCTTGGATAGAGTATCTGAAATAGATTTTTTATAGTTATAATAACTCAGATTCTGTATCAGTGCAGGCCTCATCATTATCATATTATGATATTTTGAATATTCAACATCTCCAAGGGACGTCACCCAAGGCCATGCTTAGATTTGCTTCAAGGAAGAATCATTAAGATGCAATGCAGTGGCATCTATATAAAAGAAAAACTTTCCCAGAACATGGTATAGTTACTCACATACCTATGATTTGCGTATTGCTCTGTAGTGGTAGATGTAGTCCTCATGACTGGTCTCCTTCTTCTGGATGAGTAAGTCGTTATTGGCGTGTCTGTTGTGGATGATACTTTCCTTGTCCTGTTCAAATCTCTCGCTGGAGTTGGCCTCCGTCTTCGATGGTGCGTCACAGTTGCAGGCTTTTCAGAAGACGTACTCGGATGAAATCTTTCATCAGTTATATCGGGAAATGTTTCTATATCAGTCGTTGAAGTATCGATGATTGGAGCACTTGTTGTAGTTGTTGTCCTCTTTCTACCTCTATGTATTTTTTTGTTTAGTCCGGTTGTGCTGTCTAAAACCATAAGAAACATGACAAATTAAGAAGTTCTAACATTAACACCTGACATAAAATAGCTACAATCTAGTTATAAACAACATTAATCTAACGAGGTTTATATCAGTGCGATGTGAACTGTGGTGAGTTCAAAGTGATATATTTTCATGACATCATTTTCAGAAAGACCTTCAAGGAAATATTCTCCAGCATTGCAGAAAGGCTATTCGTCGATATGGCACTTCGATACACATACACTGAAGATAGGATGTTGCGCATATGGGCAGAGCTTCGTGACGTCACCCAGAGAGTTGTCGGCTCGTGGATACCAGCGGCAGAATTGTCGTAACGTTACTGCAGTGTACGTGTATCATGGTTAATTCTACATAGTGCGATTTGTTGGTGATTTTTGGTGGGTTTGTGACTTGCTGTATTAGTTATACATACTTTATATACCCTGTGATGGTATTAAATTGATAAAAATGCGGGGTGCTGTTGTGCGATGTAATTCCGACAACCAATCTAAACGAAATCCTTGCAAAGGCACGAAGTTCCAAAGTTTTCCTCCAGACCCAAACCTTAGCAAAAAATGGCTACATCATACAAAAAGAAAAATCAAAATCAATGTAATAAGCGCTACGGTTTGCTCGAAGCACTTTTATGAAAGTGCCTATAAGGTCAATTTGAAACATACCCTTTTGGGTTACACTCCTATCCTGCTCTAAAAGATAATACCATTCCTATGGAAAATTTACCCAAGTCTCTATAATCACTTGGACCATCTACATCTGTTGATGGGGAAAAGCGGAAAAGTGCTTACGAAAAAAGGCAAAGGGCTCAACTTATCCCCTAGAGTTTAAGTATAGAATAAGGTCATATATTTTGCGGTGAAACGAAGGCGCATACTCAGAGTACTGCAGCGTAGAGGAAGAGGATACTCCGGACATTCCATTAACCGCACCATTCACGAATAAACTGAATGCACCTGAAGTATCAGCTGACTATAACGAGGAAGTTTTAGTGGTAGAAATAGATGAGCTCGAGTATGATGGGCTAAAAAATTTGACCGGCTTTGTTTGCCATAAATTGCAGGATGAGAGGTTGAAAAGTTCCTCAAATGAAACTTATTCCTGGATAGTCCATTTTAGTGAGAGTGGATTATCAAAATCTTCCACAGCTTTCATGAATCAAATTGAGAAGCTTAATAAGGTGTTTACTACATTCAATGGGGACGGAATAGTGGCAGAAAAGCAAAATTTTATAGGCGAACTTCTGTCTTTTATTTAAATCCGCCATTTTGATTTGTATAAAATTTTAATGTAGATTGTGTCAGTCGCACCGCTAAGACGAATCCAACGACACTTCATAAGTGAAAATCCGTCCAGCCGTTTGACCTGTAGGTGAAAATATGTTCGTTATCCATATCAACCCAAATAATAAGCACTCTCAGCGTGACGTCATGCGTGCCGGCGGACGAAAGTCGAACAGTGGAGCATCCGGCACTGATATGACACGAACAGGTCTCGTGAATCTACTCCGACAGTCAACAACCCTGAGCCAATTCAACATGATATTCTTAACTTTACAGCAATCTCGGTATACTCCATTATCTTAGGCACTGCCTTCAAATTTGCTTCAATATAACGAATGCTTACCTTTTCCTTCAGATGGCCCAACCTCTTTAACATGTTGATCGGCCACAATCTGTGTGACAGGCGTTTTGGTGTATAGCTCCTCAACCCTACCAGCTTCGTTTTCTTCAGGGCTATAAGCCTTCACAACCATGTATGCTTTAGGGTTCCTACCTCGAGGTAGACTGTCGATGTGATCGTGTTGATATTGCTCCAAGTCACTGGCAGTGATGTTCTCCAAAAGGTCCAGGATCTCACCTCTTGTGAGGCGAGGCAGGTTTCTTTGCGAGCTGATAAGCTTTTCCACCTACAAATCGTTTATGTATATACAGGGTAGTCTGAAAGGATTACAGTGTAAAGACCTCGTCAGAATAAGCCCAATATGCATAAAACCTAAAGGCCCTCAAAAATGTACATACATACCATTTTGTCCGATTTTTTTTTTCAAAATAAAACTTTACAAAATGGTTTGAAAATTTGTACTATTCGAGGACGAAACTAAACAAAGAAAACAAAAATGTACTTACCTCCACAATGATGCTATCCATATTATTATAATTGAAGGAATGGGCAGGTTGATTAAAATCATCATAGGAAAGGCGATTTATTTCTTCTGGTGGAGATATGTTTTGTAGATCGAAGGCTTCCCTTGTCTTGGGATGGCATATCGCTGATTGTAATAACATCAAGAGTAGGAAAATACGTTCCTATAATAAAAAAAATGCGTGTGTTTTCTATTCAGTCTTATTATTAACACATCCGAGAATTTTCCAATAGGGATATATCTCGTTGTTGAAACAAAATAAGTTGTGTGCGACGCCTTAACGCAATCCGTCGATACTCTGAAATGCAATTGAATCTTCTCTATATTTGGCCGATTCATTGAAATAGGAGCTCAACAAAGAGCAAACTATTGACATTTTTCATTAAGAAGTTTCACTAAAACTCTCTCCGTAAAATTCGCCTTGTGCGGCAGCATCCGGAATTCTGCTGTTTATGTGTGACTCATAAAATTCGTCCGCCCGACCAAATACAGCCAACCATGGACAGCTGTTTTGTGCTTTATGGCTGCTATCGATATAAAATAGCGCAACGCGCCATCTATTCCCAGAATTAACCACTGCGCTACAGTGTAAAGGCCTATTCATACTCAGCCTTGACGTAACAGTGCTGTGACCGGCACGTGATCCTCCCGGCGAAACTAAAAACATTCTTCCTGGGATTTGGATGAACTGATTCACACTAGACCGGCACGTGGAAGTGGCCGTCTTCTCAGTGCTCTCGATGACGCCGTACCGTGATTATAGCATGGTTTTGGAACGATATTTTTCGATTTTCACGGCCGTATTTTTATTTAATTTCGTGAATATTTTGATATATTTGTCAAAAACATGAATGATTAAAAACTAATTTGTGCGCGCACATCCCGTAATGTAGAACCAGTCAAATTCAAAATACATGGACTTCCGTTTTCTTCTCGTTTCTTCTTCTTCATCTTTCGTGTGTGGTAGACGGTGTCTGACTGTCGAACACGGAGGTACCACCCGGCGGATCCCGTTAGCGGGGCCAGAATGTGTGCATCTTGCATGCACACGTGTTCCCTCGCCAGAGTCCGTATGGCATCCCCCTTTTCCCCTGTATTTCCCAGTATAGCACCACGGTACCCCATGGATGTTTAGGCCTTAGGCCTTCGTGGTAGTTGGAGTATAAAAAAAATCCAGAATTAATGCAATAATTGCAAGTTCATCCTCTGAAAATTTTGCAATCTCGACCTCACGTGAACACAACTGTATGGTCAGAGCACGGAGAAAAATACTGACAGAATTGAAAACACTGTGAGCTCACGTCAGCGAGAATCACTAGCACGTCACGGCACTGTCACGTCACGGCTGAGTGTGAATGGACCTTAAGTGTATAGCCACTACCAGTTGAAAGTGTGAAGATCTGTCTGCAACGGTAGAATCGTCACCAATATTAATTTATCTATCGAAGTAGAAAGGACATCATTTCAGTTGGCAACGATTTACTTTCGATTCTACTGTGTCCAGTGTCCAAAGAAAATTATACGTATGATAAATAAGTAGCATATGCATGATTGTGGATTGCAAGGCAATAATTTTTTTTTTCGTTATTGGGTACTCTCGTGCCTCTGAACTGGTTCTCAAACACGATTGAGTTTTGCCGTGGTGTATCATAATATCTTTGAGATGTTCTGAGCAATAAGGGATATGGTCAACTAACAGCATTAACTTCTCTGTTTTTTGTGAGGACACCTGCATTAACGGTATTGACACTTGGAAATGGCAGGAAAGTTGTCCAATATTCCTCTCGAGGATGAAGATAGCACTCTTGATCTGAGCTAATGCTTTGTACACTCGTTGATTTTAAAACGTCCATATTTTTTGCCTTCCTCAAGGGATTCGAACTTACTAACTTTGGTTAGATATTCATAGATATATAAAAAACAATTAATTAAAACATGCCCCCGGAAAAAAAGTAGGTTGACTCTGCAGTTCCTACGCAACGCTGTCATTAGTTCATAATCGATTAAGTTCAGCAGAAGTTGAACCCTATGAGAAAAGAAATAGTCACGAACATATACACTAGAGATTTTAAATAGATCACGTCAGTCAAATAGTCTCATACAATTTTTCCTTTCCTTCCCTACCGGTATGTCCCGTCCATCTGGCACCGTCACAGTACTAGCAGAACAGCCAAGCAAACCGTTACGCCGACCGCTGAGTCTAGATAGCAGAAGGAGACACGAAACATTTCAAAAACAAATGTACGGGGATACCTATGATGTGTGAAATATGACTAATAACTGTGTCAAATTACTGGGGATTGGCGCGTATCAATATACAAACATCAAAAAATTGAGATCCACCTCCCAGCTCTTTATCCCCATTTTTTCCAAAAATGATCAGGATCCTGTCGTAAGGTAGTAACCTTGTGTAAAAATTTCATCCAAATCCGAGGAGCACTTTAAAAGTTATAGAGAGTCAAAAATTACCGGACAGACTAACCGACAGATAACAACAAAAAAAAACAAATTTTCTAAATTTTACATGTGGTGTAGTAAAAAAGCCACCATCATCCTCAAAAAATACATTTAACCAGTGGCGGCTCGTGAGGTAGTGCCACGGTGCCATGGCACTACCTTGTCTTCTTCAAAAAGAATATTTTTTTCAATCTTCAATGTTTTACTTTATTTTCTGCTTTTTCATTTTTTTTGGTATAAATTATATGAAGTGACAACACTGACAACGTGACAACACCGCAAGCACCCGAACCACGCGAGACGGAAAGCACGCCTTGACCTTGACGTCATCAACTTGTGCCAGTTTTGGGCCGGCCCAAATAAAAAGAGAGAAATTTTACTAGCATCGCATACGAGCGACAGAGATAACGCTACCCTACACATTTTTATATGAGGTGAATAGCGAAAGACAAGTATAATTTGTGCCAGGCACATCATCAGTCGTAATTCGTTATCAAGTGATATCGGCGGTGTTTTTGTTCGGTCGGTCGTTTCGTTATGATTACGTCTAGTGCTGATTTCGGTCTTTTTTTACCTGAAAAGTGAAAAATACCTTTTTTGTTTTAGTACGTCTAGTGTTAATGAACTGCTCTGTTTTGTGATCATATTTTTTACTGTTTTATTAAAACTAGTGAAAATGAATAAAATCGGGATATTAAAAAACTCATTTAGTGGTTTTTCGCTGGATCAAAAACTGCAAATTAAAGAATTAGGACGGCCAATACCCGATTTAAAAATTGAGAAACAAAGTGGTAGCGGACAAAAATCGCGCTGTCGCAAATTTAATAAAAATGTGTACGATAAAAACAGCTGGATATGTGGTTGTGAAGAAACGAATAAACTATTTTGTTTTGTATGTGTTCTATTTGGAGGTGACGAGACTTGGTCAAAAAAAGGTACAGACGATCTTATACATATATGGGATAAAATGAAGACCCACGAAAAATCTAAAGTCCATATGAATAATGTTTTTAGCTTTTCTATTCTTGGTAAATTAAATATAAGGACTCAACTCAATTCGGCTTATCGCAATGATCTAATTAAACATAATAATCAAGTGGATAAGAATCGATATGTATTGAATAAAATTATTAATTGTATAAGGTTTTGTGGAGCATTTGAGTTAGCCTTAAGGGGTCACGATGAAAAGGAAAATTCGGAAAACAGAGGCATATTTAAGGAGCTGATGAATTTTAGCGCCGAATTAGACAACGAATTGAAAGTCCATATTCAAAATGCCAAACTTTTCAAGGGTACCTCAAAAACAACTCAAAACGAGCTTCTTGAGTGCATGCTAGATGTTTATCATGAAGAAGTTAAGAAGGAGATTGCAAATTCTCCTTTTGTTGCAGTAATTGCCGATGAAACGACTGACGTAGCCTGTGAATTTCAGTTAGTTATTATTTTCAGATATTTGTGTAAAGGACAACCAGTTGAGAGATTTTGGAGATTTTACGTCCCCGACGGACACGATGCCAAATCAATCGCTGCATGCGTTTTAAATGTTGTAAATCCATTACTAGATCAAAATCCAAACAAATTAATAGCTCAAAGCTATGATGGTGCGTCTGTTATGAGTGGTGAATTGAATGGCGTTCAAAAAATTATTAAGGAAACTTATCCACTTGCAAATTATGTTCATTGCTATGCACACCAGTTAAATCTAATTATGACAAGCGCATGCTCTGTCAATAAGCAGGCTAGAATATTTTTCCATAATTTATCTGGATTGTGCTCTTTTTTTTCGACGTCTCCTCAAAGAAAAAAAATTTTGGATGAAATAGTTAATTGCAGATTGCCAAGATCTTCCCAAACACGTTAGAATTTTTACTCACGAGGTGTTCATACAGTTTATGAAAATAGGAAAGACCTGATTGAAGTTATGGACAATATAGAAAGTACTTCACGCGATTCTTCGTCGATTAATCAAGCCAGTGGGTACAAATTAAAGCTGCAAGATACAAATTTTGTATTTTGGCTAAGTATATTCCATAAAATAATGCCACATGTTGAAATTGTCTTTAACCAATTATAAAAAGTATGCACCGATTCTGTTAAGGTCAAAAATGATTTAGAGAATTTTGAAGCAGTAATTCAAACTATACGAGAACAAATGGATAGCATTATTGACGAGATTGAACGAGTGCAGAGAGAAACTGATGAACCGGCAAGAAAAAAAAGTTGAAGAAGGCAGCAAAAAACGGGAAGCGTTAGAAATATGCGATGCAGTATTATCGCAAATAAGAACAAGATTTAACTTTTCTGGACATTTAGTTGCTTCTAATTTATTTGTGTCTGAAAAGTTTTCTGTTTATAAACATCAGTTTCCTGAAGCACATTTAAATGACACATGCACACAATTTTCATTTTTAGACAAAAACAGGCTTAAAACTGAGTTACAAGTATTATATCAGAGAGAAGAATTGAGTACTACTTCTGGAGCTGTTCCACTATCCATTTTATTGAACGAGGAAGGATTAAATTGTACGTTTCAAGAAACTCTTAAGCTCTTAAGTATTTTAATCACTATACCGATATCAACATCTGAAGCAGAACGCTCTTTTTCAATGCTGAAACGGATTAAAACTTTCCTCAGAAACACAATGAAGGAAGAAAGGCTTAGTGCTTTAGGAATGCTGTCTGCAGAAAAACATTTTGTTAGTGGCA